ATGCATCAGCACCTTGATTACATTCAGTAATTGATGGAACCACCTCAACCAAAAATTACTGAGGCAGTTTTCTTGTCACTAGATTGTGACTTTAAGCTGAAACACAGCTAGACAAAGATCCAAAACATATCAATCAAATCACATAGTCACATATGAATCCAATTAACTCCAGTCAAATTTGATAAAACGTGTCATACAGCACAATCAGATTCAGTTGATCAATGCAAATTGGTAAAGGTTTAACCATCTGATGAAGCTCCGCTGGAGGCACATCTTCATATAATTGTCCATCAATCCTTCCTCCAAAAGAAGCCCAGAGCAGATGTGGAAAGGAACCGTTGTCTCTTAACAAGACGACGCCTCCAGCACAGTCTGGTGAGGTATGAGCAGACATCTGCAGTTATCGGCTGGGGAGTTGAGACACAAACCCGCCTCCCCTAAAACATGACAAGATACTTAATGGCAGCGATGGTCCCTTCAGTTGCTCAGTTCAGGAAGCAGAGAGTGATAAGGACCGAAGCGTTGAGCACTTCCTGTGTAAAACAAGAACAAAGAGAGAATAGAGTGGCAGCCAGAGAGCCTGCAACATCTTTTTCTAGGCAAGAGACAAAAGACACTGAGTGAGGATTACTTTCTCTTATAGAGGAAACAAAGATAACATGGAGTTAAAAGTTGCCACAGTTCAATCTATGTTTCTAGCATGGACAGAGACAACTAAATACAGAAGTGCTGGGCTAGTACGTTATGTGGAATAAAAAAGGGAAAAAACAGAGTTAATAGCACCAGTATTTTGGCAATGGCTCAGTCCAAGAAAGTAGTCATCTAAATACAAACACACTGGGACAGAGATACTTTCTGTAAGAATAAGGAGTTTATAGAATTAACTACAAAAGGTCCTTCATTTTCTAAATCCATGGAGGAAAAGAAGCTAAAAACAGATAGCATTTAATGTCAGCAATAACTCTGGCACTACTTTAGTCCATGAATGCAGGACTGAGTCACAAACAGTTTCAACAGTGCAGGACCGAACTTAATGCAGAAGCGTCCCGTAAGCAGTGTGAAAAGTGTTTACGTTGTTTCAAAAATAAAATTACCTCTTTGCAGATTTATATGATTTGTTGAACACAAAATGATTAAACAAGGGTTTTAATAGAGCGTGTTTTTCACAGACCTGATGACATTTCTTCCTGCCTACTTTTACGTCTATGAACCAACACTGATAAAATCTCCCCAATGGTGTCTTTGATATAAAAAGCAAAGATGTGCTCTTAAGCTTTACAGTTGTGGGCCTCTTTGTTACGAAATGTGCAAATGTCCTGACCTCGAAATTCCTCAGCAAGTTGCAATAAGGAACTGCTTGCGACACTTTTTGGGGAAGTAGTCCTTCAAGAAGGAGAGTCTGATGCCTGCTTGCATGTGAAGCAAGGTTTCAGCAGAAGAATCCTGAATATTTGGGGCTTAAAACGAGGACAGAAATATAGCTTAGGGAGGCTGTAGTTCCACTTGCTTATGGGCCAGTCCTGAGAGAAGACCCAACGTGATACCAAATGATGAAATCAAATGAAATAGCATGCGAAGGCCTCGTTTCTCCCCCTTTTACATGTAATCTCTTCATTGGACAGACACAAAGACAGGATTGAGCTTCGTGTTTCTGCTGGAGCTCTGCATAGCTTCTCGTCATCCAGTCGAGGTGGAGCTTTTTGGCCTGGTGAACGGCTGTCTGAGTCAGGATGGAGCGATGAGGATGGGGCATCCCACTCACCCTCTGCACGGCCGGAGACACTGCTGCTCTGCTGTCATGGAAACAGCAGCAGTCACCATCGCCAGCATGGGCCCATAATGCACACACACACACACACACTCACATACACACACACACACACACACACACACACACACACACATACACACACACACACACACACACACAGGGAGCATAATGAGATATTCTAAGTGTGCTGCTTCTTCTCAAACATCTGCACACATTCAAATAAAAGCAAAACACCTCAGCGGGCTGTTGAAGCCTTTGAAATGTTAACGTTACAGAAAATACCCACTGTTTTGTGTTTTTCTTCTTATTTCTTACTGGGACTCATGCTCCACAGGTGTTAATCTACTGCACATTAATGTCTTTGGACTGTTTTTTTTAACTGTTCATAGTTTATTTATTAGGCTTTTAACAAGAGTAATGCTTTGAATGATCACTCACAGAAGGATTTATAGGCTATACTATAAATTGTTTCACCTTTTATCACAAAACAACTAAGAACATCACTAGAATATGTCAAAAGGAAGAGAGGAGTGGATAGAAAATAATAGATAAAAAAATAAAAAAATAAAACACAATAATGACACAAGATTCTCTTCTTCCCTTTTGAGGGGGTACTGCAAAACCATTGTCAACATTTCTAAAAATGAGTATATTTCCCCTTAATTTGTGTAGGCAAATAAGATTATCGTTATTTACATTTTAAATGTAAATTGTCCTATTCCATTGGTAAAATGTGTCACTTACCTACTCAATAAAAAATGTACTCATTTAAGGAAAAATTGGCTTAATTAGATTTCCATTTTTTAGCAGTGGGGGAGACTAGAGACTGCCATGGAGGCTCACCTTCCAGCAAACATAAAACATGTTCTAATGACCCATCAAAGTCCAAGAGGATCTTGCTTAAAACTTGAAAAGTGATGTTTATATACAAACTTGAACTGCGCTGAGCTGCTAAGGGAGAAAGATAAGACCAAAAATAATTTAGTCTCTGGAGGTGAAAGGCAATATTCTCCAAGTGACTTTCAGCTGCAGCAAAAGCCTATTCAGGGGGTCTAAGCATGAACTCCACCAATCACATCATGAAGTTTGCAGACGACAGCACGGTGATGGGCCACATTAGAGAAGACAAAGACCAGGACTACATAGAGGTTCAGCAGCTGGTGGCTGGTGCAGAAACAACTACCCGAACCTGAATGTGGAGAAGACGAAGGAAATCAGGAAAAATCTGCCTAACCACGCTCTGCTCATCAACAGCTCAGCTGTAGAGGTGGTCGGCAGCACCAAATGTATGGGGGGGCCACATCACAGACAACCTCACCTGGTCAAAAGGTCACAAAAGCGCATGTACTTCCTGCAGAGGATGAGGAGAGCCCACCTGCCCGCACCCATCCTCACCACCTTCTACAGAAGCACCATAGAGAGCGTTCTGACCAGCTGTCTCACTGTGTGGTGTGGAGGCTGCAGCGCCTCAGACTGGAAGAAGGAGAGAAGAATAGCAAGAACAGCAGAGAAGATCATCGGGGCTCCTCTTCCCTCCATAAGAGACATTTCATCTCAGCGCCGTATCCTGAGCCTGTAACATTATCAATGACCCCTCACCGCTCCCACCACGGACAGTTCTCCCTGCTGCACTATGGGAAGAGGCTTTGCAATATTCAATGCAGGTCCAGCATATTCCAAAACAGCTTCTTCCCCATCACCATCAGATAGCTGAACTGTTAAAAAAAAAACGTGAAAAACAGGGAAAAAAGACATAAACTGAAAAAAAGAAGCTGAATGTAAAAAAAAAAAACACCACTCTGTATATTCAAAATAACAATAAAGTTTGTCTAAGTAACCCATAAACATAAAAAGATGCATTATTTTTAGCTTTGCCTCTCACCATGGACAGTTCTAGACAGGGGTTGATGGGGCCATCAGCAGATTTATTCCTTTAATGACCCCTGTACCAAAAACATGATGCAAAATAAATGTATGAAAAAACACATTACAATCTTTGCTGGAACAGAAACAATAACTTATAGACCAACTAATTGTTTTATTTTAATTTTTCTTTTGTCAGTGATTAAAAAAGAGAAGTTGTTTTGAGGTAGAATCAACATTTTTATTTGCTTTATCTAAAGTATCCAGTGCTGCAAATGGCTCTTTGCTTCACTTAATGTCTACAATGATGAAGTTTGCCCTGTTTTTTGGTTTCATTCTTGTTTTCTGTTCCCCCATAAAAATAAAACACTGGTTCTATTCTGGCTCTATTGGTAAATTTAACCAAGAGCCGCCACATCACATAAAACACTCTTTAAGTTTGTGGTTGCAGTATGTTAAAAATTTGAAAAAGTTCTAGTGGTGTGAAAGCTCTCTCTCTTTCATGTGTTATTGCATTTGAAAATCTGCTATTATCAGAAATGAGTCTGATAATAATACCCCTTCTGCAGAGGATACATTCTGCAACCCTCCCCACCACCATCGCCCCACTGCCCCTGTCTCTAAATCGGACATTTTACTTCGCGCCTGCATATCAGAGCCTTTCCTGCAAATTAGCCAATAGTGGAAGGTCTGCGTGTGCTTTCCTGCGTATTGGGGATCAACCAGCAGTGCAGCGCAGCGCAGCGCAGATCCCATTCAAACAGGTGTGAGGAGCAGAGTCGGTCCCATGTGGCGCATGTTGGTCGGATACGTGGCTGCAGCCTGGAGCCCACAGGAGCAACGGTGTGAGCATCTTTGGCGCTTTGAGGGCTGAGCAAGCCGCTTCCGAAAATAGTGTTGGCTGTTAGAAAGTAGGTCGATAGGAACTGAGACCGACGGTTGTTTCCGCGCTTTTGTCTCTGTTCTTTGTTGTTTAGCGAGGACTGTGGTCGTTCTTTTTTTTTTCATAGCCCACCCTTGTGTGTGTGGAGCCTTTTTACGCACAGGTGGGAGATACCCGCCCAGCGTGTAGGACAGCCCCCCCTCTTCTCTCTCTGCTCCTCAGCGGATGATATGAGGAAGTGACATTTCTCACCGCTGCGGTTCGGGACAGCTTGGGCTCCTCTGCAAACAGGTGTTCCGCTTTCCGGGTCACTTTTCACCAGGAACCCAACAGGAGGGGAGGCGAAGCGTCCCAGAACCTGAAGGGAGGCCCCTGGACGCGGGACGGTCGGGGAAGGAAGAGGGATAAAAGCCAGAAGAAGTCAGCTCTTTATTAGCCGGGGCTGCCTGAACGGGCTCAGACAGAGAGAGGGGAGAGAGAGAGGGGGGGGGGGGGGGGGGGGGGAGAGAGAGAACAGCGGAGCGATGGCAACGAAAAAGGCGTGCGTGGATGCGCCCAAGAGGAGCCGGAGTCCGGTCGTGTTGGAGGCTGAGATGTTCCGGGAATTTCAGGACTGGTGTCTCCGAACTTACGGGGACTCTGGCAAGACAAAGACCGTCACCCGGCGAAAATACAACAAAATCATGCAGACACTGTTACAGAACGACGAACCGGACGGGGTGTACGTGGACAACAGCCACATCAACGCCAAATTCAAATTCTGGGTGAAGTCCAAAGGCTTTCAGGTCGGAACCAACGTTCTGGGAGAGCACAACAAGAAGGGAGCGCCTGGGAAGCCCGTCCTATACGTCCCGGTCAAGTCAACGGTAAACTGTCTGCGTGTGCGTGTTTTTCATGCGTGTGTGTGTCACGAGCTGTCCTGCTCTAAGTAGTTGTCATTATCCGGGCTGCACCCACGCACCCGACCAGGGAGTGAAATGACAACTTGTGATGCTTTTTGTGGTTCAGATGAATCCCCACTTTGTCTATATCCCAACCAGAACAGCCCCGCACACTCTCCACTTTCATCCCTTGCTGCCATGGCAACGCCGGTGCCTCCTGGCGATGGCAATTGCAAAAAAAAAAAAAAGAAAGAAAGAAAAGGTAGGCCATCAGCACCAGTGAGGTTGAAGTCCTGTCGACAGCAGGATGTTGAGAGGAAGATAACTGATTATTTGATCATTTTTATTTATTATTTCTTGCACTTTGAGTCTCGCGCAGCCCGGTGGCGTGCGCGCGCACGTGGATGCAGAGGCATTTTGGTGGCTTGGGTCGGCTCTGGTCTGTCAGGAGACACACTAGGTGTCTATATTGGCTATTAAAGCCAGTTTGATCAGTGATCCCGCTGTTTCTGCTGCGGGGACTCGACTGGTTTAAATGTCTGGGATCCATCAGATGACGCGCGGCTCACTGTCCCATCCAAAGCCGGAGTCCGTGCTTTGGTGCCATCGTTCGTCTTCTTCCTTAATTGCAATGATGTGATTTAAAAACTGTCACGCATGAGATGCCTAAATAGGATATGATGCTGAAGAGCGGCGGGTTGCGCTGTGCTGTCACCCCTCTGCCTCATTGTCCTGGACAGGATGCGGCTCGGCTTGCTGGCAACTCGTTGCTCTGGCAACACCTGTGTGCAGCCCAGGATGGCCTGCCTCTGCCGCATTTTATAATCTGGGTTACATTCCTACACCATAACCATCCCGAATTAGACTGCTTTCAATAAAGGAACGCCATGAAATAGATCCTTGTTTTTATTAAAGATTGGTTGATTTATTGTATGTTATTCTGGCTGTGCGTAAATTGGTGACCACGTGAAAGGGGAACAAAAGGCTCTCTGCTCGGGACCGAGAGCGACCCACGCCCACAGTTGGTGCTCAGACTTCGTGATGGGTGGTGATGTTTCTGTCGGGTCACATCCGTCCCACTGTGCGGCTGCGCGCGGGGCGTGAGGGGTTAAATCACAAGACAGATAAACATGTTCTTGATGAACTGTCAGGCAGCGTCCCAGCAGCTCTGTCTGTTTGGGAGGCCATCCAACAGACAACAACCATTTTTTTAAAAAGCGCTTCCCGGATTAATCCCCTCCATCCATTCATCTATCCATCCTCCACCGCCTCCCGCTCCGGCGGGACCTGCGCTCTCTGGACATGAGAGCGCTGCAGTGCGTTTTGTGTTAACAAACCGGGCCAGATATTGGCCCGGATTAAAGATTGAGCCGTTTGATTTGAGCTCAGTGGCGCTGATCCCTCCACAGGTGTTTTACCTGTGTGAATGGACGATTGAGATTTGCGCCAACCGCCTTCTCAAAACTCCTCTAATCTCTGCAGGATATTATGTTTCCCTGTGGGCAGGTGTGCAGGTGCAGATGGTGCCTGAAATGTGTTGTTGATTATCCATTTTTTTTTTCTCCTTTTTTCTTTTCTGGTCTGTGGCTCTTTGTGTTTTTTTATGTTTGATATAAAATCTTGCCAGATATATATCAGGTTTCTCAGATCAGTCACCCTGATTTTATATAAAACAGTTTTCACGCAGAGCTGGAGCTATCCAAGGTTCTAGTTTAAGCATTTCAAATGTTCCACATTTGTCACATCAAAACCACAAACTTAAATGGATTTAAGTGGGATTTTCAGTGACAGACCTGCTACACTGCAAAAAATTTAAATCTAACCAAGTCATTACATCTTAAAATAAATGCATTTTTTCTTGAATTGAGGAGGTAAGTGAGACACTTTGCCAATGGAACAAGATAATTTACATTTAAAATAAGAAAAAACAACTGTGCATATTATCTAACTATCTTATTTTAAGAGTAAAACTACTCATTTCATTGGATTTTCTGCTCAAATTAACACTTAATTTGAGAAATGTTTACTTATTTGTAGATCGTTTTTGCATTATGTTCATCACAGACGTCCATTTTTGTTTTTTACAAAATAGCTCAAACTTGACCCAAACTTTAATTAGTCCATTTAACTCTTTTGATTTTTTATTTAGTTATGCAAACCCCTTCTTTGGAGTTCTGTCTGTATATTTTGAATCCCACCCCCAATCTGCAGTGTTAAACAGGTTAATGACAGACATAATGTTACAGCCATCATGTCCACCATGAGGATGACTGTTTGGGCTGATGCTGTGATAGTTTTCACAACACAGCGTTTGGGGATGCCAATGTTAAAGTAGCATTGAAACGGTTACTCTAAATGTTTTCCCCATTGTTGGTTCCATGAAAGAAGCAAAAAATATGAATATCTTCAAAAATATTATGGTGTCATTGTCATCTGTTTATCAATACATCTTTTTGTTTTTATAAAACAGCCCTTATATAATCTGTATGTAAATTGTTTAACTGTTGTTGGTTCTTTTTGTTTTCTAAGTAGCATTCATGGTTGCAAAACCTTGACTGCTTCTTTTTCCAAATGAAACATAAGGGACATTAAAATACAATTTATTTATTTGTTTTGTTGTTTTACCACAGAATAATGTTATAAACCTTTAGACTCAAATGTTTAACTTTATACACTGCAAAAAATTAATATCTCAATAAGTGATTTCTTCTTGAAATAAGTGCATTTCTTCTTGAATTAAGGATGTAAGTGAGACACTTTGCCAATGGAACAAGACAATTTACATTTAAAATAAGAAAAAACAACAAGTGCATATTATCTAATTATCTTATTTTAAGAGTAAATACTCATTCCATGGGTAAATCGTCTATTTTACCTGCTCAAATTAAGGGTAAATACACTTAATTTAAGACATATTTACTCATTTTTAGATCGTTTTTGCAGTGTAGGCGTTGGGAATCTTGTTTCCAAAGCAGAAAGCCCTGAACATACTTCTTCTGTTGAAAGATTATCTCAACTATGGATCTCTGCAGCTCCATAGGGCTGCTTCTCTGATTAATGAGTCAATTTAGGTGACCATGTCTTGCATGGTTTACAGTTGTGCCATGAGCTTTCCAATGACTGGTCTTAAAACTTACCAGTCTCTTTGAGATGGTCAAAGCTCGCAAACCTAACCCTAATTTAAGCATCAATTATCCCTGACCCACCTCCTCAGAAGTGAGTTGTACAGAATTTTATTTATCGGTATCAGAGCAAAATGGGCTGACTGCAAATACAAGGAATAATTGCCCAGTAAGACTGGGAAGGAAGCCAGAAATTGGTTGTTAATTTCTAACAAGCAATAAAAACCTGATGAGAGCTTGAAAACTGAGATGATTGCTTAAAAAAAAGATATAAAACTCAAATTAAACCAAAATTTAATATACTGTATGCATCTAATTAATGAAAGAGTTCTTATAATTATTTGTCAACAAAACAGAAGAAACAATTGGGTCCAATTAGGAAAAATAATGGCGATTATTAAAAGGGAAAATAGAAGGATTACACTGCAAAAAATCTAAATCTAAATAAGTCTTTTTGTCTTAAAATTTTGGCATTTTTTCTTGAATTCAGGAGGTCAGTGAGACACTTTGCCAATGGAACAACCCCTTTTATAGAAAAAAACTATTGCATTGTCTTATTTCAAGTGCATATCATCTAATTATCTTATTTTAAGTGTAAAAAATACTCATTCCATTGGCAGATCATCAAATTTACCTACTGAAATTAAAGGTAGACACATAATTTAATACATTTTTACTTATTTCTAGATTGTTTCTCCAGTGTATATTATGTAGTTTCCCCCTGAAATCCAGTCTGAGAGCAGCAGAGTAGAAATATCTGATGCTGGGTTGAACAAAGGCAGACTGAGAAAGGCTCAGTCCTCCTGAAATAAAATGTATTCTGCTCTTTATTGAGAGGAGCGAACATGTTTTGCAGCTAATATCATAAGGCATCGGGGGGGATGCCACCCCCTGACTCAGCTCCACTTGGGAAATTTAAGCAACAAACAAAAATATCAGCCAACACAAGCTGCTCCTAATGATGAGTCAGAGGCCACAAATCAACCAATTTACTTGTATGTTTGCGCATCAGAAAACATGATTCCTGCTTCAGCTTCTGTTTGTGGCTTTTATAAATAGGCTGTCCTGGGCCAGTTGAAAAGTGACATACACGTGCAGACAGACGCACACAGACAGACACAGCGGTCGGTGGCTGCTCGCAGGGCTGCAGGGCCCGGGGGCGTCTCTCTGCTCTCTGCTCGAGCACTGGAAGCCCTGCTGCAGCTGCTTCCAGGGTGTGCCAAGTTTCTGTATGGGGGCAGGCATGGGGCTAAATGACAGGCTGCCGTGTGGGGGTAGGGATGGATCCTGGCTGATGTGAAGACAGAGAGGGTCTCTTCTGTGTGTTGCTGAAGCACACAAGGGCGACTTCAGTTTGTGACGGGACAGAAGGCCAGAGCGAAGAGGCGTAGTTTCAGTGCTCGCTGCCTCAGATCAAGCCGGGCATAGAAATATTTTGCGTTTCTCTCTATATGTTTTCTGTCCTCAGAGAATCCACACGACCCTTGCTATGGAGATGCAACCTCGTTTAGCCCTCATTATGTTCTGATTAGAGGATGCTACGAAGGAGGAGGGGACCAGAGACAGACAGAGAGGTGCACTACAGAAACGTACACAACGTAAACACAAGCCTTTCACCAAGCGCAGCCAATTTCAAAGGAAACACTTAAACGCCATGTGCATTTTCCTGTTGCTTTCTGTTGCCATGCCAACTGAGACCTGTAAAATGCTTTTCATTTTTTCACTTAAAGACATGTCCTGTAACATTCGGCCTAAAGCTGGAAGGGCAGATCGACAGCGAAATGTTTGCTTCTCTGTACAGATGTGTTTATTTAGCAAATAGCCTGATATAACAGATAGATGAGCTCATCAGTTAACTATTAA